GTTCATCAAAATTCACGATTAAAAACCTATCCCATCCAGTTACAATGACGACTTCTGAGTGCAAAAATTCCAAACTGAATATTTCAAGAGAATGTCGTCTTGTGGTGACTGACTGATCGTTGGCATTGCGAATGCATTACCAAACATTGATTTATTCATTTAAGAGCAGATAAAAGACAATTCAACAATGGTACGTACCGGAGCAATCCGTAACGCTCTCATCCATCAATGAACCATTCTCAGTAACAAACAAAACGTTACAACAAACATTTCTCATACCTGACTTGAATACGAATAAACAATAAGACTGAATACAAATGAAAGATTCATTCCTATCGTTCTATCATTTCGTCTATTTCATTCGCTGAATTCACCTCCTTTTTGAAGATGTTCTGCCAGAATTCTAAGAGATGGGACACTCAGCTCTCTGCACTAGTTATCGGTAGCGATTAGTAGTTAGGTAAAGAAGGAACACTGGAAGAGCTGCAGCGCTTGATTAATAAAAGTTCTGAATTTGTTCAGACAGTTTCAGTAATTTTTCTTTGAATGCTTCATGTTCTACTGATCATTTTGACGCGTACAATAATTCCTATAGCGTCTTCACGGCTTGAGAAATTTGTGCAATATTCATTACTCCGTCTGATATTCATCGTGCTTCGTTTGCAGTCGTGACAGTCTTTGCTGAATAACGAATTTGAGTTTATAACCGATAATAATGATGAGTCCAGAGAAATGAGTCCAGAAAAAAAAAACATTATGACGCTAAAAAAATATTGCGTGGATGAAAGTGGTTTGTTGGAAAGATGAATCTACAGAATAACGGAAATTTCATGGACGAAATAGCGTTGAGGTTGGAGAATGCGCCAGAACTAGAACAGTTGAGGAACGAACGAGGAGAAGACGGATGAACGTTACGATATGAAACGAATGGCTAACATCAGTGAACTGACCATGCTGGACTGAATCAAGCAACAAATCCGCCAGCAAACACTCAGGAAAATCAAGTTTTCTGCTCTGCTGATCTATGAAGTTTTATTTGCAGTTCGACTGACTAGAAAAATTCGCATTTCAAAAGACCGTACCGTTGGCTGTTACCTGACTGATCAGTTTCACCGAACTAATCGTAATAACGTCAGTCAAAGAGAAGTGGCATCTAAGGTCGTTATAATACAGTGTTCGTTGGATGCTTATCAAATGAAACATTATGACATGGACGGGAAACAGGTATTCGCTGAAATGAATGCGTAATGAAGTGCACTTTAGATGCGGTTAAAGTTAGATGGAAATTTCGAATATTAATTACCAACGAACAAATGAAAAAGTCATCGCAAAATCAGGATTGTTCCCAACCAAATTCAGAATGTCTTAAATGGGAGAGTGTAGAAGCGTGACTAAAGTTTTTCTTTTATCATATTTGTGAAATGGCCGTTGAATTTTATGGAACGCCCGGTGTATGAATGCGATTGATGCATAGATTCAGTCACTGATGCAAATTTTGTATTCTGGTAGCATAATAAAAACGCATTTGCTATGCTTTAATTCTCAATAAGCAATAAATTCTCCAACAAGCTGTAAACAGCAACAGAATGCATCTAACACATAAATTTCCAATATTTTCCTTATTTCTTTCCAATATATTCAATATTTCAGTGCTTACCTTATTTCTATTTCGCCCGATAAAATTAATCATAGTAAATTGCAACGAACTCAATTTTCTCGTTGGCATTTCCGATCACAGAAGTTCATTGTAAAATGCAAAATGCTCTATGTTTGGCTGATTTCAATCAGAAAAAGTGAACGTTGGATAACTGCAAACGGTAAAATGAATAATTTGTTTACAGAAATGAATAAAAAAGTGCGAAGGAAACATGCACAGAGAAAACAAAATGCAATGCAAAGTGCATTTCGGGATGAGCTTGGAATCGATTGTGAGTTAATCTGTGGCACACTCAATTTCATGACACCACCACACTCGTTCCTATTGATGTACTCATTACCACATGCTATCCGCTTTTTGGTTAATCTCAATTCAGTTCATTTGCAATATCCATTGAATGGATTACATTTTTAGTCTCATATCCATAATAAATACAAGAAGAGCTCCCAAACGATGGTTTTTTGACTTGTTCTGAGAAAAATTATGAAACCAAATGAATTTTCAATTGCACCAATTCGCATTTGCCCTCCGTGTTACATTCACTCTAATTTAGCGTTGTTACAGGAGAAAAAATTTCTTCCCTTTTGCACGATCCCTCAAACTGGATCGTGCAAAAGCGAATTTGAGCAATTGTTCATTAGAACGCATTTTTCGAAAGATTGCTCATCCCAATTCAAGGAATCACATCAGTCGTGTTTTACATCGATTGGTACACATTTTAAATATGACGTTTTGTCATATGAACAAATGTCACAATTTGCTCACACAAACATCATTCTGATCAAACGGCTAAATCAGTGGAATACTGCAATGAATTTCCTCTAGTCTTGATGTATTGGTGATGTTATTTGAACCAATGACAAATATTTTTGTGTTGTTCCTTTCGGCTGATCGAATACAAAGCATAATACATCGGAGTTCTAGTCATTGAGGAAAGCTGAGAATTTCTTTAAAAATCGAGGGCGGGATCAAAAGAATGTAGAATGATGTAAATCAGAGTCATGCAGTTGAAAATATTCACGAATAATCGGTAGTGGATAGCTGAGTGCTAATAAAATGGTTTCAAGGCATACAAGAATTTGAAGAACGTCCAATAGCTCAACAAAGGCATTTTATGTGTGATGCTGCACTGCATCAAAATGATTGAAGCCATGAATTAGAGAATGAAAGTGTGGCTGAATCAGAATTATGATTTCTAATTATTCATCGCTCTTCGAAGAGACAGTGCCGAATATGAAGCAAAAATTAGCATTTATCAGTGAACGATGGCACTACCGAACTGTCAGTGGAACACAAACGATTGACAATTAATCAACTATCTATTATTAATAATTGTACAATCAAACCGACAATAAGTATAAAAATCACCGACGATCCAAACGAATCAACCAGCGGTATTCAGCTAACTGATCACCCTTCAGACATACATCAATGACAACAACCACTATCATCACTATTTCGAGTTGATTGCGTCTATACAACGTATGTGCATATTCCAACCAAAATTGCTTTTTTTTTTTGAAAAATTGATAAAGTTTTGATGATTCATTATCTCAGAGACGTCAGCTTCAGTTGCCAATTTGAAGTTGAGCCTAAATTTAAGACAATCTGTAAAGCTCCCACATGGATATATTTCAACCATATGCATACTGATTATGCTAAGGCTTACAAACGGCTAAAACACATGCAATTAGCAGATCAACTGAATGTTAGCTGTACATTTCAGTTTATAGAAGCATCAGCTCAAACTGTTTGCAGTCAAGAAGGGTTTGCCTCCAAATTCAGAAGTGGAAAACTTTGATCCATGCCCACTGATCATCACATTGATTATGATGGGTCATCATCAAGTGATATGACACACATATTCCACTGCTAGCTGAAACCTTCGTGTGCAAGTGTGAAACGAACCTTTCGGCATGTAAAGGTAGTGATAATCTTCATGATTATTTTTATTTGATCTCTGAAATTGATCGTTGTGTAAGGCTCCGGCGTGATTAGGCGGTGCGAATGGTGATAGAATTCATTCGATGATTTTTCCGTCACTGTGGTGTTATCGGTTAACATTGGTTTCAAATAAACGTCCCCAATCAACTTTGTAAATTACGATATGACCGCTATTTGTGGTTCCCCCCTTTGCTTCTAGTTTATCCGTAACAATTGTCATGGTTTATATTTTTGTGAGGAATGCTGTTAAAAAGCAGCTCTTAATGAAATTTAGCCTTTCCCGCTTGATACGGAATCATATTTAAGTTGCGTCAGCCTCAGACTCAGCATTGCATCTGGGCTTTCGCTTACAATCAGATGGGGCTAAATAACGTTTGCATATGTAACTTACATTGGTCTTAAGTGGACCCTACCTAAAGCGAACCTTTTGTTTTATATTAATATGTTTCCGTCAGTGAACCGTTGCAGTGCCCACCTGGAACTACTGGACACGTTGAACTGAAAAATGGTGTCCGTCGGAATAATAGTGAGAAATATTACGTTCTAACAACAATATTCTATCGGCAACCAGTGACTTACTTTTATCAGTTCGTGGATTTGTGGGTGAATAATGTGCACACTGCTTGGAAATGCGTATACGTATGTTTCTGATTCTAATAGTGCAATTTGTTTCAACCAAGAAAGACATTATTTCGTAATATTATGCAGTAAAATAAGATTTATTATCCCAAAATTACAGGAGAGTGAGGCTGAATTAGTGGTCTGCTTTGATTTCAAAACGACAACCTTCAAAATGAATTTTCAATGGTACGAATGCGAACGTAAAGCGAGCATGCATTGCAGGATCGATGGAGAGTACAGCTGTGCGATAAGTTGCTCGTTTTTTAGTGACTGGGAGGTATATCCTGGTTGTCCATGAGGGGATTTCACAATCTGAGCAATTTTTTGCTTCAGATTCATTCTATCAATTCGCTTTCCTTATTATGTTGATTCAATCAATATATGAAATGCTTTGACACGTTGCGGGTATATTTTGAAGATATTTCTTTTTCCTATTCATTTGCCCAATGTACTAAATCAGTCTGGTGGAGGATAATGCTGCGTTATTAGAGAGCAACTATTGCCCTTTTTGTTTTTTTATTAGTGAAAAGTTTTCGGATCATTTATTCTCTCATATTTGGGTCGCATTAACTTATTGAATGATTGGAAAGTGGACAATTTGATTGAAAATGTTTCACAATTGGATGGATGCTTTGTTGTGAGAGTGCGACTTTGAAATGAATGTGAATTGCTCCATTCTTTTATGAGGGATTAGTGTTCGTTAACTGCTTCAGGACACCGCCGTTCAGACTGTTGTATTGGACACACACAGCGTGGTTGTTCTGTTTTTTTACTCAAGATGGATTTCAATTTCAAGAAAATTGCTTCAGATGCCAGTGGATTTTTTAGTCGTGCGAAACAGGTAAATTTGTTGACATTGTTTTGCATAATTTATTCATGCCTGCGTCATTTACTTGCTGAATTATCAATTCATCCTTTCGGCAGAAATTTATTTTGTTATAAGTTGTGAATCAGCGCTGCATTGCTCCGGGCAATGTTCAGTGGTTATGTCCTGTTTTTTGTCAGCAATAAGTGAAATAACGGGAGCACATCTTTTTTATCGGTGCTCCATTGTCTTGCGCGAATGAGGTTTTGATCTTATGATCGAACCATCGATTTGAATCGGTCTGTGATCGTAGTATACGAATGCATACGAAGGAATTGCAGCTAACAGAAGAAACATTTCTGAAGGCCGAAAAAACCGAACTGGATGCTCACTTCGAGAATCTCCTGCAAAGAGCAGATAAAACCGAAGAGCACACCAAACGACTGCTGTCATGTCTCGAAAGTTATCTGCAGCCCAATCCTAGTAAGTTATGATATCTTGAAAATCATCACACAAATAATGCATCGTGCAAGCATATTCTGTTCCGTAAAAGTCATTCACGTGGTAGATACACGCATTATACTCGATGATAATAGGTTTGTATTTATTGACTTCCAAGAAGCTTGGCCTAACCAACAGATTTTTTCAATCACTTTTTTAGACAGTTGAATAATCGTATGTCTTCCCTGGAAAGCCTGCATTATTAAACAATTACTGTGAGCAGTGTAAACGTCATCGATCTCATTTTATTTGCATTTTGTTCAGTCTTACTTTCAGAATCATTCTAATAGTCCGTTTACATCGAGTGAAAATTTTAATTATGTAAATTGCAAATAACTAATGTTATTTTTTGGATGGTAACATGTGACATTTTCCTCTTCATTTTTAACGCATTGTTTGTGGCGAGAATGATTTTAAATGAGAAGATATTTAAAATCGGGCAATATGAGGAACGCTGAATTAAACATTCAGTAAGTGCTCGTTTTCAAATGATTTTCGTATGGAGTAGCGAAGTGTATTGTTATTGAATAGACGAGCATCAACAGCTGTATGCATGCTTCTGTCTGTTTCAGTGATTGTTCAAATTCATTTTGTAACAAGTGCACACATTCTCACTAAATGAATTACAACGAGAATGTAATACGAATCGGAGTGTATTATTGAATTTTTGGGATTCGCATTAACAAATGCAGTAATTATCAATCATGAGTGGACAGATAGCACAATGAATCATAGAATTCATGTTCAGTTTAAGATGCAGATTTTGGTATTTGAATGTGCTCTTGATAGTCCAATGCCCTATTCAAATGAGTGTATCTGAAACTTTTTTCACCTTTCCATCTATATCCCTCATCAAGAAAGTCCTGGTTAAAAAATGTGTTCAAGCCGTAAGCCACAAAGTATTTGAAATGGTGTTCGCGAGCTAATTTGCTCCGATCGCAGAGTCCTAACGGGAACATCACTAAAACAATTGATGAACTGTGTTTTGGCCGTATTCCTTTTGCAAAATGTTATGGAAATCCCATCTGAGTTATATTTAATTTGAATCAGTTCAAGACCCAACTGAAGACGACAAATTTGTTGCTCCTCGGAACACCGAAGATATCCAATTTGGTTTAAATTCAAAGGGTTTGTCGATCCTGCGTGCNCCTTTCAAGAAGGGTTGACGGCGTCGATCAGATATGGATGGAATATCAAACATCAAATGAAATATGGAATATCAAATTGCTAATTTCACGCATAATGATGTAAAAATCCCATTCACACAATATTCAGTCATCAAAGTTGTATTTTGTTTCGCTGTAAAACAACGCTCTCGATTTACTAATTATTATGCCGACGTTTTGAGCCTTGATCTTTCCTGCTCCCCTCCGCTCACCCTCCCCTTCATCTCCTTATTGATTCTTCGAACGAAGTTTGCCGTCTGTACCCGCTATTCAGTGATTTGACATATTTTCGTTATCGGATGAATGCAGCTGTTCATGAGCACACTTCATTGTTCGCTGGTCTCGCATCGATTTTTGCTAGCAGCTTTTAGTTGAATGCGATATTAAAATAGAATGTTCTCGTCCATTTTAAGCGACAATGCAATGGATTGCTTTGTGAACGACTTATGAGATTAGTTGATGGCTGCGCATTAAGGGGAACATTCGAAGCGATGAAGCATATTAGTGAGTTAAAGGGAATGGTAGAAGCTCTGGCATCGTATTACATAGTATACGGATGATTGATCGCGCGATAAACAAACATTGTTCAATGTTTGCAATGTATACCATCAAATTATTGAGCTGTCCAAATTTTGGAACAAGCATCTGATTAGAATTTGCGATAATAATAATAATTGTGAAATAAACTAATAGTAAGATAGCATTTTTCTTAAAATATGAATAGTAGAGGAATTCAAGCTGTAATCCTCATTGAACCATTGCACAAAACAAAAATGGCACATCAGATTTAGTATGAACAACATTCAAATTTGCAGTCAATTATGGCACATGATGTGTGTTAATGTTTAAGCAATACGTATGGAGGAAGTATTTTATGAAAAACTGGAACTGAGGAAAGAGGGTGAGCGTATGAACAATTTGGAGCATCTTGGTCAGGCGATGACAGACGCAGGAAATGAATTCGGGTCTGGAACTCCTTATGGTTAGTTGTTCTGTGACGTTTTGAGTCAGT